ACATCTGCCTGAGGTTCTAGTTTCTCCATTATACTAATTCAATTAGTGAACATTTAAAAATATATGTGCCAATTTTCTGTAATGTTTAATTGTGATCATTATTTACCAGTGTAGCTGTTGAAAATTTTGAGAATATCTTATATTTGAAAACAAGGTCTATTTAGATGGAGGTGATTTGGAAGGTAACTTATTCAGTATGTTCTAGGTTTAAAGCACTGACTCACTGGTGCTCAAAATTGTTTTATCTTGACATCCCACACATTTAATGATTTCTCTAATATGTACTAATTCCACATCAAGTTACTTTGGTACTACGCTGAATGAATTTCTAACTAGTATTTAAAGCAATCTTATGGACAATTTAAGCATTCATAAATTTAATTTTGGAAGTCCTCATGCTTTTTAAAGGAATCTTTTCTATAAAGAATCTTCATTTTAAAGTGACCACTTTTCTGTTGTCTTGATATTCCCAACGGTCCATACTCAAAGGAAATGAAGTGTGTATGCATGTCCCCATGTGCTTTAGTCTCTATCACACACTTCAGGTCATTCAAACACAGGTACATGGATACATTTAAGTCCCCTCCCACATACATACACACATAAGAGAGTGATGACACCCATTTCTCATCAGGTGAAATGCGTGTTCTTATTTTGCAAATATGAATGTTTTCTACTTTAAGAAGTCTCCAGGTAAAAAAAAGGCAAAGCAGAACAGAGAGTGAATGTTTACTTTCAAAATGCAAAAGAAAATTTTCCAAAGGGTCATCTTAATGTAAGTCCCTCTAGAAAATTAAGTACATTTATATTTTACAGAATTTGGTAAGATACTGAGGTTTTAGAAACTTGATTATTGTACTCTGTAAAGAATAGCAGTACAGTAATACCTGTTATTAATTATTAAATTTAAAACAAATATATATTTGCAATCATCTTACGTGTTTTGGTAATATAACCTTAGTTTTCATTTTTACATGACTCTGACCTAAGACTGGAAAGTATAACGCATGACTAATCCTGTTTTTGTTCTTTTTTAGCATCTCTAGAGTGTGATTTTTTAGTATTAACCTCATCACCAATTCTATGAAATCATAAAAATCTTTTTAAAGTAATATCCCATAAAAAATGTCTAAGAAAAGTAGTTGTGTTTTTTGTGTTATACTTTAAGTATAAATTATATAAAGAATAATCAAACATATAATTGCAATTAGCATTTCATCAAAAATAAGAGAAAAAATGTATGTCATATAATGAAAATGGGCTCATTTACAAGGTGAAATCTTTGAAACTAATGAAGTCCCTCAAATTTTCTGTAAAAATTAATGAAATAAAATACATATTTTTATATCTTGTACCATTGTAACTTGTCTTTCCATTTTTGAAAAGTTATTTTAATAACTAAAAATCATAAAGATTTTTTTACAATGCTTTATTCATTGTGGTCATTAATTTGTAGCTCAATTACTAAAATATCTGGGGGTATCTTATATTTGAAGTTGAGAGTCACTTAGTTTAAGGTGACACGCAGATATTCTACTCAATACCTTCTGTAGTTACAGCGCCGTTTTATAGGCACTTAAAATTGTTATATCTTACATTCTACAATTTGGATATTTTATTTGATAAAGATTAATTCCATATTAAGTTATTTTTCTACTATGAATTTATAAGTAGTATTTAAAGCAATATTTCACAAAATATTTAATTTATGTAAAAAATTTTAGATGCTGTACCATAATTTTTTCACATACCCAACACATATAGAAAAAAAAATCCACACAGATGCAACTAAACAATTGTGAAGAATTAAATATGAGCACATATTAACAATGCTAGATTTCTTAATAAACAAAACAAGGATCAGTAGTTTTATTGACTTTTACTATTTCCACTAAAAGCTTTTTCCCCCTTTTAATCAACCAGTTTTACTAAGGAATAATCCTTTGTTATATTAACATAAACTTGCTTATTTATCACTTCAAAAAGCTTACAGAGAGCTTCACATGCATAATAAATAAAATTTTCAGCTTGTTAAATCATGGTATAGATAACAATGATGATTTAAAGTCTTAAAACACATAAGCTATGGCTAACCCATTCTATAAAATGTGATAGATTCAAAAAGGTATTTTACATACCAGATGCCTCTGCTTCATTTTACACTGATTCTATGTACTGCAATTAGATTTCATGACATTTTCAAGAGCTTAGCATTTGTATTTTCTTCAAATAAGTACAACCACGCTTCTTTAGAAGCAGAGTTTCAAAAACATTGTCTTAAAATTTTATAATGATAAACAAAATGATGAAAAACTAATATTAAAAGGACTATGAAGGTAGATTTTTACAGTTTCTAAATAGATTTAGGAATATTGTACCAATGATTCCATTGAAATCCAATGGAATATTAAGAGAGATATATGACTATTCAAGATGTCAGGTCTCAACGCTAATAACTTTTATACTATATGCATACTTGGCAGGTTAAACTATTATATCATGACTGAAGATATTCTTAACTCTTCTATGCACTGAAATTATTCATGTAGTGTACATCTCTTTGGTCTCATATAAAATATGAGCCATTACCTTAGTGAAAGACATAAGTAACATTGTTAAGTAATATATTTACATACACTAGTTACTTTTGAAGAAAACTCTAAGTCTATATTTTAAATATGTATTTTTAGAATAATTAAATGACATTAATGGATAGGAGTATTTGGGCCTTAAAGTCCGACACATTTCACACCCAAATGACATTTCTAATAGACAAACCATCTGGGTGAAATCATCTTCTGGACAAACTCTTCGGCTCTACCACTTTTGTTCACTGAGACACCTAGGCAACAGGGAAGGCTGTGTGTGGCATTATTTTAGGGGACAGCCCAGTGGACTTGGATCATCCCATGCTATCATAGGAAAAACTCATTCCCTAGAGAGCAGCACAGTGTACCACCCACCGTCTGTGCTGAGACCTATAGAATGACACGGAGAAAGACCAAACCTTTGCCTATCTCTCATGATTGTACATTAAATTTACTCAGACCACAGGATAAAATGTCTAAATGAAAAAAACACTAATGAAGACCAGCTATTATTTGCTCACATTAGGTAGTCTTCTAAACCCAATCCTCTTGGGAGACCAGGAACTTGAGAAGAGAGCAGCTGCGTGGACACCTGAGTCTCCCTAAAACACCCATGAGATATCACTGAAGTACTATGCTTCTTCTGCTCTGCCCAGGCTACCAGGTATCCTGAAGTAATTCTGAGCATGCCTGGATTTCTTCAGAAGATTCTTCGGGAAGGTATAGTTGCCTTCATGTTGACCATGAACAGTCATTTAAAGGAAAGGAGAAAGGAGGATACCAGCACAACCCAATGTCAATTCGCTGTACTGACTGAAGCAGAGGAACGATTTACAGGCTCTGCCCTGGAGCACAGCTGCAAGAAAGTTCATTCCCACAGGAACAAACCTGCAAGGGTAATGACCACACTCCACCTGCTGAATGTACACTTGTTTGTCCTTCAGGAATCAGTTTCTTTAGGAAACATTCCCAGACACTGTCTCCCACTTCTACATTAGGTGTTATCCCTATACACCACTGTGAACTTAATCAGATTAGCGTCTCTATCAAACACTACTGGAGTTATCTATTTTCATTTTTACCTTGAACACTAGAAGGTCAAGTTTCTACAAACAGAGACCACGAGTATTTTATTTTTATGTCCCCAGGACCGAGGCCACTGCCTAGCACACTGCAAGTGCTTAGTAATATTTGCTAAGCTGAAACTGATGGAAAATGATCTCACCACTACAACTGGCACATCTACCACACTGATGATTTGGAGGTGGGGAAGATAAGATTTCTTAAGAAGCCCCCAAGCTTAACTGTTCTTAAAGGAAAATAGAGAGGAGAGGCCAACAGTACAAAGAGAAAATGCCATGACATAGTAGTCCCCCAGTGCTGGGGTAAACATAGTCACATCCAGAAAACCTCAGTGAACCTGCCATCGCTGACTAAGTAACTGCTCTGTGGGCCTGTGCTCAAAGACTGACATCATTTATTATAATGATAGTATTTTATAGTCATAAACACTTAAAACAAAAAAACATGATTAAAAAAATTTAATATGCGTATATTTCTGGTACTCAATATTCTATATGTTAAACTTATTTGAAGCTTTCAAATGACTAGTTATTCTCTTACTAGTATATTGTTGCAAAATATTTAAAATTGCTCTAGTTATTTAGAATAGAATAACTGATATCACTGAAATAAAAACATTGTTTTCTATGTGGATCACTTTCTCCAAAATGAAATTTCATTCTTTTTTTGGAAAAATGATTCTCCAAAGGGAAGTTCAATTGTTAAAAGTTACTATGAAAATATTTCTGATGACACAAAAACATACATTTACTCCATCAACAGATATAAAAGGATTGCCTACATATACAACATTAGTAAGGTTTTTTTTATGAAAGTGATAGGCCTGTAAAAAGTTGAAATCTTTACAAACTTCCCTGTCATTTATGGAAGATATAAACATTATTTACTTTTTGCCTCTTTAAATTTTACTCTATTTTTATGAAAGATCCTTGAAATACCAGGGGAACACCTTAAGATGAGGGCTCAAATATGTACTTTAGATACATTTTATAGACAAAAGATGTGACCAAGGCAATTATAATCAGAGAATAAAGCAAACAGCTCGAGTCTTTTTCACAATTGCACACAGAATGAAGCTTGATTAAATAGTCAGAAGGCCAAGGGCTGCATATACAAAGCACAAAATACACTCTAACAGTTCACATGCTCAGGTCATTTCAACTTAGTTCTTAGATGGAACTTCATAAAAGTCTAATGTAAATAAAATGTGTGTTAAAACTCTTTCTTTTCCCTAAGACAAAACTATTTGAAACTTTTAAAATCTCTTAATCACTCCACAGTTTTACAGTGCCAGAGAAGAAAAGAGAAATTATTAATTTTTAAAATTACCCAGCAATTCCATTGCATCATCTTCATTATCAATATCTTCTTCTGTTACAGAATGGGTAGGGCTGTGAATAGACTCAAAAGAATCTTGAGAGAGCATTGCTGCCAGCAGCTTCTTATGTTGCTGTTGCTGTTGTTTCAATCCTTTGGTCTTGGGTTCCACCTTTAAACTGAAGAAATATTTAAGTGTTAACTGTCAGTGATGATGGCATGATGCATTAGCTGTGGTGAGTAAAGAAAATCAACAAACATTTCATTCAATTATTTTGCTATGCAAATTTATGGACATATTAGTAAAAATTTCCCTGAGGATAATGAAAATATGGATCCTGTCTACTTTCTCAGACATCCTTTGGTACCTCATTTCTCAAGTGGGTATAGAGCAAAAGTTTTTCATTTTAATAAAGTCCAGCTAATCAATTATTTCTTTCATAGATTGTGCCTTTGGTGTAGTATCTAAAAAGCCATTGCAGTACCCAAGGTCATCTAGGTTTTCACCTACTATTTTCTAGCTTTATAGTTTTGCATTTTACATTTGGGCTTATGATCCATTTAGAATTATATTTTGTGGATAATATAAGATCTCTGTCTAGGTTCATTTTTTTTTAAACATGTGCATGTCCAGTTGTCCCAGAACCATTTGTTGAAAAGACTGTCTTTGCTCCATTGGATTGCCTTGGCTCCTTTGTCAAAGAGTAGTTTACTATATTTCTGGGCTTTCTGTTCTGTTCCATTGTACATTCTTTTGCTAATATGCACTGTCTTGACTACTACATATTTACAGTAAGTCTTGAAGTCAGGTAATGTCAGTTCCTCAATCTTGTTCTTCTCTTTAAGTAATGTGTTCACTATTCTGGGTCTTTTGCCTCTCCACACAAACTTTAGAATCAGTTAGTTGATATCCACAAAATAATTTGCTATTACTGGGTCCGTTCAACAAATTTTAATTCCTTTTATGTGGTTTTTAGTTACATAATTTTCATCTGGTTCTTTTTCATTATTTCTATTTGTTGATATTTTGTGTTCTCCTTTGTTTCAAGGGAACTTGGAATTGCTTGTTGAAGCATTTTTATGATGGCTATGTTTTTTTAAAAAACATAATTAGTTAGTAGATTTAAGGGGCGAAATCCAAAATGAAACTCAAAGCTGTAAACTAGGATGGCTGAGGGTTTGGGTGCCCCTGACACTGTCAGAGAAAATTATGAGATGCATGTTCACTGAAGAAAAGTCAGCCACACGTTATAATCTAACATCTGATGTAAGAAGGGTGTCACTTTGTCTTCTGACTCTATCTTAGGAAACACATTAATTTAAAATCTTTCCCAGATAACTTCATTCATTCATCTTAATGTGGCATTAGTTGATGATTTTTTCTCATCTAAGGTGTGATTTTCCTGGTTCTTGAGGTAACTGGTGATTTTTTCTTGTAGTCTGCACCATTTGTTATTATTTTAGGAGTCTCTGGGGCCTATTTATATCTTTTATTTTAGAAGGCAGCCACCTGGCCTACTTTTGTAGCTTGTGGTTCCAATGAGAGTTTAACTTTCAGAGCTCCTGCAGAGCTGTTTCAGTCTGCCTGGTGTGTCTGTTGTTGCTGTGGTTCCCATTGTACCTGCTGGTGCTGCCTGAGGGGCAAAAGGAGCTTCTCAAGGTTGTGCATCTGGTGCCTTAGGTAGTCGAAGGGAATTTGTGACAGTGGGGACAAAAAGGGTTCCCATGTCAAGCTTTGTTACAGAAAGATCTCTTTTGGTGGTATCTTTTGTCAGTAAAGGGCACTGAAATGCCTGGTGTCTTCAGTGAACAGGAGTTTTGAGTTTGGCAGGAAAGGACAGCTTGTCCTCTGACCATTAATTGTGAGTGGGCCTATCAGTTGATTCCACAGTGCATGCAAATAGGCTCTCCTACAGAGCTTGGAAAGACTGTGTTTTCTTAGGGGGAGAAACAAACTTATCTGGGCCACCACCTCCTCTTGCTAGTTTGGTGTTGGGAAATGCCCCGCCTAGGCTGCCTTAGGCTGTTCGTGGGGGAATCCTAAATTGCCTGCCACTGTGTTCCTCCAGTTGTCAGGTCCCTAACCATTCCCTCTTCCTCTTTACATTTTCACAGCATAAAAGTTACTTTGGTTGCCTTTTGTATTATTTCCAAGGTTTATAGTTGTATTTAAGGGGAAGGAGCTGAGAGAGTTTCTTCCATTTCTTCCAAAGCAGCACTGACAGATGACTTGTTAATTACAAAGAGAAAATGATACCTTTACAATGAAGAAATCCAGCCAATATAGCCTTAACCAAGTCAACACACTCAGCATCACCAATCATGGGACAAACTGACATTATGAACCTCTAGATGTGGTAAAATGAGGAGGCATATCATACCCCTATGTAAAATTCTTGCCCAAAATATTTAATCTGAACTTAATGATTAGGAAACAACATCTCCAGATTTGGAAACAATCGCCTGTAGTCTACCAAGATATTGATGTTATGAAAAAAAACAAAGATGAAAGACTGTTGTACATTATAGGAGACTAAAAAGACTCAACAACTTAATGCCACACATGATCCTTTAGTGGATGCTGCATAAAAAAGAAAGAAATAAGCAAATAAACAAAAAATAAAACACAGAAATCCATAAAAGACCTTACTGGGAAAATTAGAGAAATTTGAATATAAATTCTATATTACATGATTTTTTTCTTTTTTTAGTATATATATTTTTGCAGTGACGTTGATTTTTTATTTTATTAATTATTATTTTTTATTTTTAAATTATTTTTTAAGATTTTACTTATTTATTTTTAGAGAGGGGAATGGAGGGAGAATGAGAGAGAGAGAAACATCAATATGTGGTTGTCTCTCATGCATCCCCTACTGGGGACCTGGACTACAACGCAGGCATGTGCCCTGACTGGGAATCGAACCAGCAACCCTTTGGTTTGCAGGCCGGCACTCAGTCCACTGAGCCACACCAGCCAGGGCTATATATTAGATGGTTTTATGGTGTCATTGTTAAATGTTTTGGTATACTAATGATATTATAGTTGTATAACATATACAACTATATTTGTATAATACATACCTTATTCTTAGGAAATGAATGTTAAAGAATTAAGGATTTAACACATTATAATACCTATAACTTATTTTCAGGTGGTTCAGAAAAAAAAGAAATAGACTAAAATAGAATAGTTTGATCTATTTGCAGAGATAAAGCAAAGGCAGAATGTTAATTAGTGAATATGTGTGGATGGTATGTAGATACTGATATTACTGCTCTTAAATTTTCTGTAGTTTGATACTTTTCAAAGTGAAAAGTTGAGGGAACAATAAGAAAAATAATAATGAAGTCATATTCTCATCAACAATACCTATTTCAACTTGAACTTCCATCCTAACTTACGTTCCCAACTTAAACAGGAACCCTTGCAGTGATGAAAATAGGCATCCCTTTTAAAATATTTGTCATTATTTTAGTAACTATCAGTATAATTCAAATTCAATTAAAGGAAATTATTTTATGCTTTAATAGTAGATATAATACAAATATTCACTTGCAAACTGATGGATGTCAATTTACCCCAATTTCTTGCCATGGCATCTGTCTTCTAATTTCATCTGTGTCTTTTAAGCTGAGAAATAATGTACCAATTTTAAAGTATTCCTGACCAACCTTATTCACTGAGAAGTAAACAAACAAAACAATTTTTAATTTGGATTTCTTAGCTGATAGACCTAACATGCTAAAGGGAATTTACATATGCAATATTTTATTGAAGTCAAATTATTTTATAATAATAATACTTATTCATAACTTCAGCTCCATTCACTTTTGATTATGAGAAGATATACATGTTGCTTTTAATGAGGAATGCCTGTGGATTGTGGAAGTGAAAGCTGCACCGTGAGAGAGAACACAGCACCCTGCCACAGGGCAGCAAAAGATGGGGAGAGATGGGTTTGGGGTGTTTCTAAGAGCATTTAGCATTCTGGGTCTCCTCTTATCCAGATACTGAACCTAAATCTCAATGATAGTGGAATTCTTAAAAACTCTCCATGAAGAAAAGCAACATAGCAAAGCATCTAAAGGTGCAGAATTTGAAGCAAGACAGACTGGCTCTGCTACATAACAGCTCTCCAGTTTTGGGCCAGTAATATAATCACTCCGGGACTTGGTTTCCTTATTGCTAAAATGAGGATAATAATAATGTTTCCATGAGTGTGAAATAGGTTAAGATATAGGAAACCCATAAAACGTTATCTAAAATGGTAGGATTATTATATGTTTAAAGAACACAATGGGCAGCATTCTAAATATTTACATATCTTTTCTTGAACAGTAACATCCCCCATGGAAAGTACAGCATAGGGAATATAGTCAATAATATTGTAATAACTATGTATGGTGCCAGCTGGGTACTGGAAATACCAGGGGAATCACTTTGTAAAGTAAATGATTGTCTAACCACTATGCTATACACCTGAAACTAATACAAAATAATATTGAATGTAAATTAAATTTAAATTTAAAAAAATGAAAAGCAACCAAAAAAAGCCTTGAGCCATATGAAAAAGAATAGCCAGTTAATATGTCAATGTTGTGTTAATACACTCTAGGTATCCAACTTGACTTGATTTAAAAGGGTAATTTTTAAGCCAAAATCAGATGGAAAGGGAGTTTAAAGTGGCCTCGATGCCCCCGCTCCGATGTGCCCGCCCCTCCAGGTGCAGACTTGCTTCTCCCCGTTGACAGGCTTGTATTCTGACCACTTCCTCTCTTCCTCCCGAGCCCACTCTTCCTGGGTGACTGACCTTGCTCTAGCCTGTTTCACAAGCATCCAATCTATTTGACCCCATATGCTTTCTTTGGTGGAAAACTGGATGAATCCTCTCTTGACCTGTATCTCAAGCTTGTTTCAGTTCACCGCATGCAGGACCTAAACCCTTTCTCTTGACTAGAGTCAGAAATTAAAGGGTTCTCTTTGCATTGAGGCCCAGGTTGTCAGAGAAGTCATAAAGTTTCACATAACTGCTGTGCTTTTTGATTTATGCATGAGATCTCTGTCCTTTTTTACATGCTATCTGCAAGGCACTGTGGGCACTGACCTGCAGAAATAAGACACAGTTTCTTCTCATTCTCTTCACCTCAAGCGAGTACTTTCAATCCAGGATTTTCA